TGTGCTACCCGCTCAGATTGTGCTACCTCCCATTAAAAAGATAGGTAGCACAAATCGATAGTGAAAAATGCGACCCATCAGATTGTGCTACCATCATCTTATTCATGTAGTTTGAGGCTTATTTAAATGTCCATAACTACCCCTACCCTAAACCTACCCACCCATGCCTACCCTTACCCTAAACTTACCCTTAAAACAATGCAAATATATTTTTGGTAGCACAATCTGATAGGTAGCATGTTTCGTCAGTACCTTACCTTACCATTTATGAAGGTAAATTTAAGACAAATTTAAGACTTTTTTAAGACAAAGTAAAAAAAATAAATAAATAAATAAATAAATTGATTGGAACAACAGATCAATATGGTCTGAAAATAAATGTCTTGTATTAGCAACACTTCAAAGTTTAAAAATACAGCTTCCAATAGATCTCCATTCATTTTACTAGATAGATAGATAGATCAAAATAAAGTGATTTCATGATTAAATCAAGAACAAAGAGCTAGAATCACTTGAATCTAGCTTGTGCTCACTGTTGCCAATTAGAAAAATCAACTTCATTCAAGGGAAAACCAGTTTTCATTCCCTGTTTTTGTTTTATATTTGCTTTTGTACATTTGTTTAAATATTTGAATTTGAAAACATAAATACTCAAGATGATTTTATTTTTTGCAAAGCATGCAACATTTAATTCCATGTCTTTTTGAATTTACGACTTTATGCTCTCATTTAAGACTTTCAAGGCCTTAAAGGGTTAGTTCACCCAAAAATGAAAATTAGGCTGCTTTTTATTCACCCCCGAGGCATCCTAGGTGTATATGACTTCCTTCTTTCAGACGAATCCAGTCGGAGTTATATAAAAAACTGTCTTTGATCTTTCAAGCTCTATCATTGCAGTCAGCGGGTGTTGCATTGCTTCAGTCCAAAAGAAGTGAAATAAATAAAAAGCACCCATCCATAAAAAAAAGTGTCTCACACGGCTCCGGGGGGTGAACAAAGGCCTCCTGTAGCGAATCGATGCGTTTTTGTAAGAAAAATATCCATATTCAAAACGTAATAATCACTTGAACCTAGCTTGCGCTCACTGTTGTAAACGGAAGCAGTTCCAGGGGAATGACGTATGAGGTCAGCTTTGCGCATGCGCCGCTCAGAAGTGACGAACGCGGAAACGCAGCGGAGAGATCAAAACAAAACAACGGTCACTAATTAGAAGTACAAAACGAAGATTTGTAAAGAAGAATGTCAGAGGATTTCGATATAAGCCAAGAGGAGACTGGTTTTCCTTTGCTAAAGTAAGGATTAATATAACTCCGACTAGATTCGTCTGAAAGAAGGAAGTCAGATACACCTAGGATGCCTCGGGGGTGAGTAAAACGCAGCCTAATTTTAATTTTTGGGTGAACTAACCCTTTAATTTGTGGAAGTGCAAAATAAGTCTTTTTTTAAGACTCACAGAAACCCTGGTGGCAAATGTCAGTGTAACAAACAAAAATCAGTAATAGATTATAATTTCTTAAATACAAAATTATTTATATATTTACTTATACTGTATATAACTTGTTTCCTAGAAAATCTGGCATTGGGTACTATGAATATTGCAGGCTCTGTTAATAATTGCAAGTAGCTTTGAATAAATGCATCTGCTAAATGCATAAATGTAAATGTAAACTACATAATTTATTATTATTATTTTGCCTATAAACAAGCTATTACCTAACTGACAAGACAGTTACCATGTTGTGTATTGTTGGTGGAATAGTTCCCTCGTCCTCCTCTGCTCCATTGACGGCCTCTCCATCCTCTGTACTGACCATTATTCCATCCTCTTCCTCCTCTCCATCCTCCTCCTCCTCCTCTTCCTCCAGCTGAGGTGTTTCCACCCCTCCATGACCCTCGGGCAGAACCCTGACTGCTCATCCTTCACCCTCTGAAGTCTGAAAGCAAACTCACATAGCTATCAATATGGCACAGAAACAAGATCGTCCTGATAGAGATAAACAACAACAAAATCAATAAAGACCCTCTGTTTCTTTACAGAAACTCTCTCATCAGCAGGAACCGGTTACATAATCTACTTACACTAGTCTTAAAAGTTAGTCATCTTATTTATTTTCTTCAAGACTTGCCAAAACTTTTTAAAGCCAGTTAGAAAAAGCTAGACTGGTCTAATCTGAATCAGAAAATCAAGACGGATTACTAACGTTACTTGAATAACTGCTAGCTGGTCGCACACAGTCTTAACATAGTGGCTATGTTTTTGCAACCCGGGTTTATTATAATAACCGAACATGAATTATAGTATATGTAATAGTCTAATAATATAACAATTAAAAGACTAAAATAAATCTATATCAGTGAAATCTGTGCTAGAATGAGCCAAATTAATGAAGCAGATACAGAATATCTCTGTCTGGACTATTTACCTGCTGTCTCTTACTTTACAACGGCTCGAATTAACGTTAGAAGAATTAACACGAAAAAACGACATGAACTGAGAGAAATTAACACATGTTTTACTAAAGAAAGATATTTTAACCGCTCTTACTAACAGAAGTACTTACTACAGCCACCGTTTGTTTACCTCCACAGTCAGTGACGTCTGGCGAGGCTTCAAGTTTGGCGCTAATATGACGCCACTTCCGTACATGCGCAGAGCCGAGAACATCGAGTACAGATTATTATTATATTTTTGTTTATTTGTTTAGCTTACTTTACTTAACTACATTTAAATGCCATTTAATTTGAGAAAATTCATGTTATAATAATGCATTGCTTTCCAAATGTATGCATACGTGTTTTTAACCATTTATTTATTTTTTATGCTATTTTTTCATTTGTTAATTTATATAGTATATAATTTAAATATTATATTAATGTATATTATAGCCTATATACATTTTCGTAATTTAAATATTTCTGTATTTATTAATTTTCGTGCGTTTCTTGCTGCGTGTATGATAATAAGAGGGCGTGGCTACGCTTTCAACCAAATAGTGTCGCAGTTTCTCCCTGAAGAACGCGCACGAAAAAACGACATGAACTGAGAGAAATTAACACATGTTTTACTAAAGAAAGATATTTTAACCGCTCTTACTAACAGAAGTACTTACTACAGCCACCGTTTGTTTACCTCCACAGTCAGTGACGTCTGGCGAGGCTTCAAGTTTGGCGCTAATATGACGCCACTTCCGTACATGCGCAGAGCCGAGAACATCGAGTACAGATTATTATTATATTTTTGTTTATTTGTTTAGCTTACTTTACTTAACTACATTTAAATGCCATTTAATTTGAGAAAATTCATGTTATAATAATGCATTGCTTTCCAAATGTATGTATACGTGTTTTTAACCATTTATTTATTTTTTATGCTATTTTTTCATTTGTTAATTTATATAGTATATAATTTAAATATTATATTAATGTATATTATAGCCTATATACATTTTCGTAATTTAAATATTTCTGTATTTATTAATTTTCGTGCGTTTCTTGCTGCGTGTATGATAATAAGAGGGCGTGGCTACGCTTTCAACCAAATAGTGTCGCAGTTTCTCCCTGAAGAACGCGCATCATCAGCAGCAGCAGGAGGAGGAGGAGGAGGAGGAGGAGGAGGAGGCGAGCATCCTTCATGATTCTGCATTAAAGCCGCACTCTATATCAACAAACCCCGGGCCTTCAGGGATAGTTTCTCCCTGAAGAACGCGCATCATCAGCAGCAGCAGGAGGAGGAGGAGGAAGAGGAGGAGGAGGAGGAGGAGGCGAGCATCCTTCATGATTCTGCATTAAAGCCGCACTCTATATCAACAAACCCCGGGCCTTCACGGATCCAGCCGCAGCTCTGCGTGAACACCACACACTCAATCATGGATAATTCCGGGAAAGAGAAGGAAGCCATGCAGCTGATGGCAGAGGCGGACAAAAAAGTCAAATCATCGGGTTCATTTCTCGGAGGGATGTTCGGGTGAGACAGCAGCGATGCTGGTCACGATCTGACATTCAAAGACATCCAATGTCCTGTAGTCTTTTCAAATTGCATATGTCTGTGTCATGTAAATATCCTATTATTTGTCTATTCTTTACCATACAACGTATAAAAATGAGTATGTAGAGCCCGAATCCATCCATGCGTTTCTCATCTCCAATGTCAAATATTTCCGTGATGCGACATGCACAATGCAATGCAACTGCTCTGTGCTTTATGCACAGGGGCTTATTATTGCACTATATTGATTTTGAAATTGCATTAAATCAGAAATGTTGATGTTTTCACAGGGGAAATCATAAGGTTGAGGATGCATGTGAAATGTATGCCAGAGCTGCCAACATGTTCAAGATGGCCAAAAACTGGAGTGGTATGCATAAGTCAATTCATGTTTATATGTAAAACGCTAGAAAACTTCATTTAATGCTTAATATTTAGTTATGCGGTTGGACTGTTACAATATATTCAGTTAAAAGCATCATTCAAATGATCAAAGTATCACTGACCGTCTTTGTGCTTTAAAGGAGTCATATGATGCTGCTAAAAAGAACATTATTTGGTGTATTTGGTGTAATGAAATGTGTTTATGCGGTTTAAAGTAAAAAAAACACATTATTTTCCACATAATGTACATTATTGTTTCTCCTCTATGCCCTGCCTTTCTGATTTTTACAAAGCTCATCGGTCTGAAAAAGCAAGGTGTGCTCTGATTGGCCAGCTATCCAATGCGAAAGGAAAAATTGAAATCGCATCATATGACCCCTTTAAGTGATCTAACTGCATTACACTTTTATTGTCATCATTGTGCTTTGATTTGTATTTAATCTATTTTAAGCATTCACTCTGCCTCTGTGTCATTATTGGCATTGATCTAAAGACTGATGTGTTTTGCTGCTGTAGCTGCAGGCAGTGCTTTCTGCCAAGCTGCAAGACTTCACATGCAGATGCAGAACAAACTGGACTCGGCCACCAGCTTTGTTGATGCTGGAAATGCTTATAAGAAGGCAGATCCTCAAGGTGAGAGAGTTTCTTTAATCGCTGCAAAAAAACAAAAACAAAACAATAACAATGTGATCCATTTTTGTGTTTTAATCAGGGTTATTATTGTTAACAAAAAAAATAAAATAAATAATATATATATATATAATTTTGTTCCTTGAAATAAAATAAACATTAAATGCAATTGAAAAAAACTTCTTTTTTTTTTGCTGGTAAATTTCACAAACAATTACAAAACAGCAGGGAAAACATGAAACATTTTAAACATAAAGCAGAAAAACAGTATTTTATGTAAAAAAAAAAATAATTCCAATAAACTTTGCGTTATTTACAGCTTTGAAAAGTCATTTTTTTAGAAAGAAAACATTCATAGAATGTATGTTTGTAATAAAATAAATAATATATATATATATAATTTTGTTCCTTGAAATAAAATAAACATTAAATGCAATTGAAAAAAACTTCTTTTTTTTTTGCTGGTAAATTTCACAAACAATTACAAAACAGCAGGGAAAACATGAAACATTTTAAACATAAAGCAGAAAAACAGTATTTTATGTAAAAAAAAAAATAATTCCAATAAACTTTGCGTTATTTACAGCTTTGAAAAGTCATTTTTTTAGAAAGAAAACATTCATAGAATGTATGTTTGTAGTATCGTTGTGATAATCTAGTGCTGTCAAGCGATTAATCGCATCCAAAATAAAAGCTTTTGTTTACATAATATATGTGTGTGTACTGTGTATATTTGTTATGTATATATAAACACACACATGCATGTATATATTAAATAAAAATATGTTGTTTTTATATTAAATATATTTATATGTGATATAAATTATATTAATATAAATATATGCATGTAAATATTTTCAAAATATATACTGTATGTGTGTGTCTTTATATATACATAATAAATATACACAGTGCACACACATATATTATGTACACAAAAACTTTTATTTTGGATGCGATTAATCGCGATTAATCGTTTGACAGCACTAGTGCATACATAAATGATCACAATGATACTAAATGAACACTGACTTCAATAAAAAAAAAAATCTGTACTACATTGACACCAGAATGTGGATTCCTTGGATTAAGTTTTGTTGCATGATTTAATAACTGATTGAATGAGGTTATGAGTAAAGATGACCTGATGAGCTGTTTTGTAAGCGTCACGTTTGACTCACTGCTCATATTTTGTTCCCTTCTGTTTGAATCATTCACACAGAGGCTATCAACTGTTTAAACGCAGCCATCGATATTTATACAGACATGGTAAGAGACTAGGATTTTGCTTTCATATATAAATGTACATATTGGTGCATAAAATACATGCATATTACGCGATATGGTTTGTTAACCTGAATGTGCCTGTTTACTGAACATGTAAATGTTACATAACATTTAATCTCATCATTTGTGTGTGTGATTGACAGGGAAGGTTCACCATCGCTGCAAAGCATCACATGACTATTGCAGAGATCTATGAATCCGAGCTAGTGGATATCGAAAAGGTGCTGTTTGCCTTTAAACATCTATTAGATGCTTTCTAATGCATGGTTTTCGCAGAAATGCTATAACTGGGCTGTGATGTTGTTTTAGGCCATCGCCCATTACGAGCAGGCCGCAGACTATTACAAAGGCGAAGAGTCAAACAGGTTTGTCTGTGTAAATCAGAATGTCATTCAATATTTGTAATTATCTTCCATTTCCTGTTATTGTGGGTCGTAGATGCTCATTTGTATTGCTTTATTAGCTCTGCTAATAAGTGTCTGCTGAAGGTGGGCTCGTACAGCGCTCAGCTCGAGCAGTATCCCAAAGCCATCGAGATCTATGAGCAGGTTTGTGGGACACACTCAACCCTTCTTTTATTATTACTGATTTATTTCTATTAAAAAATATAAATCAATGAATCAATTATTATTATTATTAAAGAGTGTTATTGTAGTAATTTTGAGACACTATTATATTCTTCATTAATAATTTGAATTAGTTTTTATCTTTTCTCTTTTCATTAAAATTTTTGTTAAACTTTTAGTAAATTTGTTGTGTTTTTGTCATTTTTAAAAATTAATTTTATATTTAGTACATCAAGTTAAACTAGAGTTAAACATTTCCTTGGCAGTTATCCGAAATAATATTTTTGTTACATTTTATTTCAGATTAAGGCCCGGTTTCACAGACAGGGCTTAGACTAAGCCAGGATTAAGTCTTAGTTCAATTAGGGAATTTAAGAAGCTTTTATAAATGTGATTTAGAAAAAAACATTGCTGGTGTGCATCTTGAGACAAATTTTAAGATATGTCAATGCAACTGGCTTTCAGTTAAAACAGCTCAAACATGCATTTTAGTCCAGGACTAGCTTAAGCCTTGTCTGTGAAACTGAGGAAAAGTTTATTTAACGACAACAACAAAAAATTATGGTTTAGGTAACTTTAATAACCCTGTAAAATAAAAATTTAATTAAATAAATAAATAATACATTCAATACTATAGTGAGTAGAAACGAAAATGCAATAATGTAATGGAACAGAAACAAAATATTTTCCAAATAATATTAATAATATTATTTTTTAATGTATAATTAAAACATAAAACCATTTAGTTTCCTTTTAAATCTATTACATTTATTTAATGTTCTATTCGAGTTTAGGGGTTCCATGTGTTTTGGAGTAAGTGAGTTCATTTAGATTTTGCACAATGGGAGGGAGATGAGAGTGAGAACGAGAAGCGGCTTATTAACCAAAAGATTGAGAGTTTAACCCTAGAATGAGCAATTCATGTCATATCAATATTTTTGTCTTTGAGGCCAACAGCTAGGAGGAAGCAAAACTGTATTATTAGCAAGAAAGTTTGTTTGTCATTTATGGAGCATGTAACATTATTGGAGCAGACTCAGATTTTGAAAAATAAGGGTGCTTAGCAAAAGATTTCAGCATGCTTTCCAGCGCACCTTCATGTTTGCACTGTAAATCGAATCATATCTTCTCTCTGTAAATGATCACAGAGGGAAAGAAAGTTAAAGGTCTCTTCACATTCAGGTTGCAACCAGCACGATGGACAACCCTCTGCTGAAATACAACGCCAAAGAGTACTTCTGGAAAGCAGCTCTGTGCCACTTCATAGTGGATGAGTTAAACGCAAAGGTCAGTCGTTTTTTAACTAGTGTCATTTTTGTAGGCTATTTAGTCTGTTAATTCAATTGCTATAGTTTCTTGTTGTAACTATCCCATAGTAACGTAAGCACCGAGTATTTTTAGCTGGCTTGTCTTGTCTTGCACTGACACCTAGTGGCGTTAATGCAGCAAAGATGTTCATTGACCAGCTCTATTGTAGAAATGTGCCGCTCTCAGTCAGCCGTGATGAATTCAGTAGTTTCTCCTGACATGTAACAGCTCATCTGATGTAAATATTCTGTTTGATTTCTTTCAGCTTGCCATTGAAAAGTATGAAGGGATGTTTCCGGCATTCTCTGATTCAAGAGAGTGTAAGCTGTTGAAAGTAAGTGCATTTGTCTAATTTCATTAGCAATGGTAAACATAAACAGTATAAGACATTTAGGCAGTATGCATACTAAATTGAGCAGTGCATACCGAGTGCAGTAATGTGCTTGTTACATTTTGCAGCATTATTTGCATTGATGGTTTTGTCGTTCCTTACAGAAACTGTTGGAGGCTCATGAGGAGCAGAACAGTGAGGCGTTCACTGAAGCCGTAAGTTTATAAAGTTTCAAATGAACAGTGCTTTGGATGATTCGACTGTATAAGAGTGACCGGGGTTAATTGTCACAGGTTATATCTCAGTGGCTATGAGGTTTTGAATCAAAAGTCTGATTACAAAAATGATTATTTTGTTTATACCTTTTATACAAACTTGTTTCTAAGTCTTTAATAAATTAATTTTGGGTGATACTGATATTTATGTTACATTTTACATTGTTGCTGTTGTGTTTACTAATAATTTTGTCTTGCATAATAGTTTTAATTTTGCTGAAACTAAATTTTCTTTGCTTTTTTTGAAAGTCTATACAGAAACTGACTTTCAAAAAAAAAACCTTTTAAAAAATAGTTTATTAATATATATATATATTACATTTTCTCTTTTCATTTACATTTTTTGTTTGTTTTTTCGTTCATTTTAGTACATTTTTTTAGTTTAGTACATCAAGTTAAACTAAATAAAAATGAGCTAAAATAAAAATAATAAAAAGTTTATTTTTTAATTAATGTATTTGTTTTTTTTTTTATTATTAATTTATTTTGATTCAAATAATGATTTTTTTTTCTCCCTTCAAAATCACTGTACAAATAGGTAGAATATGTAGTTTTTCTTACTCAGGTATTTTTTTTTTTTTTAGCTCATTTTGACGCGGCGTCTATAAATCATGTGTTTAATTCTCCAGGTGAAGGAGTTTGATTCGATCTCCCGCCTCGACCAATGGCAGACCACCATGTTGCTGCGTATCAAGAAAACCATCCAGGGTGATGCCGGCGACCTCAAGTGATGTGTCCAAGAAAAATACTGTGGCATCCTATCTAGTTGAATTTCTTACCGTATCGTATGTGTGTGACAAACTGGTTGAACATTTCTGTAGTGATACTAGCTCAAATATAAGCCGTTTCTTGGAAAGTTCAAATGCAACTTGCATTGCATTTGGGAAAACAGAAGTATATAGAATATTAATATGGATAAAGCTAAATCCCTTTACTTCACCATGAGGAAATCTTTCCCGTACACCGTTGTTTGTACTTGTGTGTGTGGCATGCGAGACCCCATAGAGCTGTTCTCTTTCTAATGTTCACCTCAGTGTTGTCACTGGCATTGTCATGCATGATAAATATTAAAAGTGTGTTCATGTGCTGTAGAATAGCAGGTTTTTGTGAGTGCACTTTATTTCTGCTGTCTGTTTAGATGCATTTTCGTGCTATTGGCCTTTAAAATGCATCTTCACGTTGTCTTTGTTGTTATGGCAGTGTCAGTTTTGTCGAGTATTTGCTTTAGTGGTTGAATTAAGCGTTGCACGTTTCATAATCAGTAGAATAGCGTCTCTTGCTCACTATGGTGGTGAAGTGCTCAGCTCAAGTGATTTTTCACAGTGTGGTATTACAGACAGCCTTGATTTTCTAATGCAGATCAAGTTGTTGAATATTTATATATAAGTTTTGATTGTTGATTTATTCTGGTATTATTTGTAAATTTTTTGTTTAATCTGTTGTTGTTTCACATGGACACAGGGCATTTGTTGTTTTTGGGCATTCAGATCCTATGAATTTAATTTTAGTTAAAGTGCTACTTGGTTTTTAAAGTTCTTTACACTGTTGTAAATCCTTTAGTGGAGAATAAACAGCTTTACACTTTGTGTCAGTAATTAAATTATGTTTATTGAATCTGATATATTAAACCATCTAATATGTTGTATGACTGACAGGGAATCAAAAATGTAGGATAGATGGCCAGTCTTATTGATACATTTTATTAATGTTTTCCTTAATTATTCAAAGAAAAATGAATAAATGATCACCCATACCATGTCTGACGTTTCTGGTATCAGTGTCATATTTTATATGAAACTCTGGACTTGCAAATATCTGCTCTAAAATAATGTTATTTTTCTCTGACAGGTGTATTTGATTTCAAATGCTGTAAGTGGGTAAAGTAAATCTATATTGTAGTGAAGAGCATTACAATTTCTGCAGCATTTTATAGATCACTAAATGAAATGAGCACTTTTTAAGACATTTTCAGAAGTCAAGAATGAGGCTGCAAAATATATTTAGACAAAATAACGTGCAAGAAAACTGTCAGACCCAAAATTCAGATTTAATACAGATATTCAGTACCATACTTTTGTTAAATAAATGATATAGTGATACATATTTTCCACCTAATAACATATTCGGTCCACTACACAGAAACAGAAAATACTGACAGATTCAACAAGAAGTGATCAGAAGCAATGAAAGAATTCCCATGGAAGCCTGTTTATAAACATAGGATGAATAAATAAATACATTAAAAATTGCAACGTTTTATTTCACAATTCTGACATTTTTCTTGTAATTCCAAGATCATATATCACAAAAAAAAAAAAAAAAATCTGAGATAAAAAGTCATTTGTTTATTCTGTGGTGGAAACAGGCTGCCATACATATGCTTAAAATAAGTTCAGATTCTTAACTTAGACTTAAAATCCTATTAAAGATACCTTTAAGAGAGAAAGTTTTTGGAAATAACTGTTTACTTGGTAAACAAGACATTTGTTGTTGCATTTTTGCTCTTTCACTTCTTGCATAGAACATTTTTTAAATACCTCTTGCCGTTTTTGAAGATCAACTCTGATCTTTAACCACTAAACCACAGCATCCCTGATTGTAAAAAAATTAGTTCATTCAAAAATAAAAATTGTGAACATATGTACTCACCCTCAGGCCATCCGAGATGTCGATGAGTTTGTCTCTTCATCGAAACATATTTGGAAAAATTTAGCTTTACATGACTTGCTCACCAATGGATCCTCTGCAGTGAATGGGTGCCGTCAGAGGAAGCGTTATTATGGATTATGAAATCAGCATTTAGGCCTGAATCCTTGATGTATTTATTTCTTACAAACACACACGATGTTAACTGTTGGACTGGTGTCGTGTGGATTACTTTGTTTTTATCAGCTGTTTGGACTCTCATTCTGACGGCACCCATTCACTGCAGAGCATCCATTGCTGAGCAAGTGATGCAATGCTACATTTCTCCAAATCTTTTCCAATGAAGAAACTATTCCTTAAGTTTAAAGTGCACAATCCAACACGTTTTTTTTTTTTAAACTGCATTTACTTATATCATATGGCATCTGCTGTGATGTTTCAGTGTGCATTCTCGTTCGAATGTCAGATATCCACTGGAGGTCGATCAGTCACTGTCAGACTCGTCATCTGATGTCTCTAAAGAGTCTCGATCCACCACGTACTGTGTGACATCAGGTAACCCGGATATCACACAGCAGCTCACAGCACTGCGGGAAATGCTCATGCTGCAGACTTCATCCCTTTGCGGAAAAAAGGTAGATAAAGTTGCATAAAGACACTTTTCAAGAGCCAATCAATTCTACACAGATAAAATCAACTCCTGTCCACTTTTTTCTGATTTAACATCCCATTTGTCTCAGCAATGCATCTAATATGATGGAAAAATGGGCATTCAATAACAATCAAAACTCTCCATTTAATAAATTCAACTTTTTGGCACCAATTAGGTCATTATTAACTTGTAGACATAACATCATGCGGTGTGAAATGATTAGTGAGCTGTAGTGTTTGTGAACATTACCATTCATTCGTCATCCGGTCGTAACACTCCACATCCCGGCAGGTGCCGACTCCATTAAACCCCCCGGCAACAACCAGCTGATCATCCACCACCTGCAGTTCAGCCAATCAAATAACTATATGTATCACAGACAGTATGCATCAATGAGAAACTTCAAAAACTGCTATTTCAGCAGAATTCACATTAGATGTCACCTCAATGCCGAAGTTGCTGCGTGGGTTTATCATAGACCGGATATCATGCCAGGTGTCATTAAGAGGGTTGTAGGCCTCAGCACTTCGCAAACGAGCGGCACCATCAAAACCACCAACCTTGAAACATAAATGTGCATTTATCTGTAAATATACAATGTTTAATCTAAAATGTTTTATTTTAAATGCACTCATGCATGCATATCTTAGTATCCATATTTGTACAGTCAATAACTGTGGCACCTTAAAACACCATATTTTGTATTTTCATATTTATGTACACATGCATAATACTCACCAGTGTTATTATGACTAAACCAAACTGAATTAGACTAAAACTTCACTAGAATTAAAACCATAAAAATGCATTACTTCAAATCAAATGTAAACTAATCAAATGTTAACTAAAATAAAATATATATTAAAAAAACCCTTATACTTTTATTTCAGGTTGTTGCAAAAGCAACACTTTATTTAGTTTAAGTTGCCACCTTTAAACACGTTTTGTTTATATGTATAATACTCATCAGAGTTATTATAAACTAACAAAACTAAAACTAATAATTAAACTAATGAAACCCAAAACTGAAACCATAACAAAAAACATTTATTTGAAACCAATTAAACATTAACTGAAATAAAATGAAATATATATATATATATATAAAAAATTCATTAACATTTTCATTTAATTTAAGTTGTCACCCTTAAACACCATATTTTGTATTTTCGTATTTCTGTATGTGCATATATGTATTATGTGTTATGTATATATCTGTATGTGTTATTATAAACTAAAGTTAATCCCATAACAAAACAATACTTGAAACAAAATAAACATTTACTGAAATAAAATTTAAAAAAAACTTTTATTTCAGCTAACTGTAAAGGCAACATTTTTATTTCATTTAAGTTGAAGTAATAAAGTAGCTAAAACTAAAAATTCTAACTTAATAGACATATTTAAAATAAAAATAATAAAAATGATGCAAAAAAACATTAAAATGAAAACAGAAAATATAAAAATAAAAAAATTTAAATTATAAAAACAAATATGAAAAATTATAATAGTATATCACTGATACAAAAATAACAGTGGTACTCACAGCATAAACTAGATTTCCATAAGTGATCACACCAACACCACTGCGGCGGCTTCTCATGGGAGCGATGAGGCTCCACTGGTTGGTTTCGGGGTTAAAGCTCTCAGCTGAGAAGAGACACTCGACCCCAGTAAAGCCACCACAGATATAAACCTGCCAAACGCACACAAATACAGTATGACACACTGACAGTGTCCGACATGTTTTCTACAATACTTATTCTAAACTGTAGAGTGTGGAGTCATGAGCAAATGTGCTTACCTTGCCCTGCAGTGAGGTGGCGCTGGCGTCACTCCTCCGTTCATTCATGGGTGCCATCATTGTCCACTGGTTGGTGTTTGTATCGTAGCGTTCTACTGTTTTTAGTCGTCCGTATCCATTAAAACCTCCAATGGCATAAATGAGGCCATCCAGGACAGCAACGCTAACATAACATCGCCGTTCATACATGGGAGCCACCTGATATCAACAAATCATTTGACTTGTTTTTTTCCCTAAATATCATGACTGTGATCAAAACAAAGGATGTTGCCTTGCCTATATAAACAGCATTATTGGGCAATACTGTCTAGTTAAGCAGCTCGCCAGGTTGTGAAATGCAGCTCATGTTTTGATAGCACTGTTATTTAAAAAGCCAAGTCTTTACTCCAAATCAGTTATTTTAGTATTGAGACACTATTACAGTTTTTATGAATTATTATCATTATCAATAGTGGAATTTGTTTTTATTTTTATGTTCCATTTTCATTTTAAATTTTAGTTTTAGTATAATTTTGTTGCGTTTGTGTCCTTTTGTGTACAGTTTTAAATAATTTTTATTAAGTAATTTTTTTTATTAGTTATGTATTTTTAGTACATTAAGTAAATGAAAATGATAAGTCACGCCTTGGCAACTAGCTGAAATAAACAAAA